GGTGGCAACCCTATAAAATATTTTCTGCGGTAAAATTTTCTGAACCTATTTAGTTTGATACCCATGTTGCAATATTTAATTTATCTTATCAATTAAATTAAATTAAAATTTTCGAACAGATGGCAACCTTCCACAAAAATGTTTTTGGCTGTAAGCCTTCGTAAACCTCTTACTTTTGGCAGACAAATTGCATTATTTACTTTATATTATCAATTTACTTAAACTGAAAGTTTAAAACAGGTGGCAACTCTCTACTTTTTCTATATTTCAAATAAGGCCTCTAGCAATACATCACTGAAAACTGCATTCAATTCCATGCAATGGTTTTCGAGTGTTGCGCTTACAAACATACAGACAAAAAAAATTCTAAAAATTATTGATTTGGCTGCTCTTGCTCTAATAAACACTCCACATATTAATTTTTCTTTAATAGTATCTTTAATGTACAAACATCGGCCTGTTAGTATATGTATAGATTAAAAAAATTATTTTTTTTAGTGTTTTATTTTATCTGGTTAGGTTAAAGATTTTTCATTTTGGTCATAAATGTTACAACCCAACGATTCCACTTCAGTCGTGGCCAACGCCCAATTCGTTAGCCACATAGTTCCCAAAGCGCCAAATTGGATAATTAGTTTTTTTTTTGCGCATTCTCCTTCAATGCTATATGTATATTAGTACATATGTATGTATATCGTTAAAGGGTTAGAGTTTGACTCATTGGCTATTCGCCCGCAATATGAACGGTAAGAGAGTGGCAAAAGCATTTTGGGCGTAGGCCAATGTAACACTTCATTTGTTGGGAACTATTGATTGGCCAAAAGAATAACAGTCATACATATGTATATGCATACACGTATGTAGTTTTTCGCACAAACAAATATACTTACGTACATGCCTACATATGTACATTAGGGGTATTCACGATCCGGTGGATGGCGCATAGATGGCATAAATAGCATGATTGGCTAATTTTATTGTTGTTTGAACACAAGAGACAACAACAATCGTGCCATCTATGCACCACGCTAGACAGCAGCCACCGGGTCGTGAATACCCCTATTCTAAAACTATGCTTTGCCAAAAATGTCAGCTAATAAAATTATCTAGAACAGCAACCACGAGTTCTACTGCAAAATCTATGCATACCAACGGACATCAGCCACAAAGCGGACAGTGCGGGCAACGCTTAAACGCACTAACTATTTTAACATTAATTATTGTTAATTATTTTTGGGGAAATGTATTAAATTCTTGTTAGAGAATGAATGCACTTTTAATGGTCATGGTGTTTGTTGAGGTCATCGCTATGCATGTGGCATGCGGCATGCCACATACATACATACATACATACACTTGTTTTTCATGAAAATTTTCGGGATTGATGAGTAATGTTTGTTGCCAATTTCCGCTTGTTTCGGCTTTAGCTTGCCTTTATTGCTGTTCACATCGGTATTTTCATATTTCATTTTTGCAAGGGTATTTGCTATTTTATTTTCAACACTGTAATGCACAATTGAATTTTGTGTGCAAATTAAAAGGAAAACAAGTAAACTTGTCTCATTAGCTTTATTGTGATTTATGGACTAGCAATTGTGGGCAGCAAATTGAGGTGAGTTTTTTCAAATATAGTACATATCAGTGATGAAAAATGGAAATTTCAGATTGTACCTAATATCACAAAATAAATGCACCTAAATGAGACAGATTGTACCTAAAAAAAGTTACATCATTCATTTGTATTTTTTTTTATAAATTTTATTTGAAACATAAATACAAAAGATATATGTACTTTAAACGTTATTAGGTTTTTCAACTGAGCCTATATCTATAGACTATAGTCTATTGGGAATCGGAGAAGCATTGTTTTTGTCTAATTTTGACTACTGAAAAATATTGGCGAAAAAGGCAAAAAAAACACACTTTGCGAAGTATACTTCTTTATCCAGCTTTTTATTAAACAACAGGAAGTCTGCTAATTTATCCGATTCCTTTTGATAGGTGCAGCAAATCTAGAGAATATAATCAATGTGCCATAAGTAACTTCGAAAGCATTTTAAATATATTTCCAGAAATACAAAAGCGAGTATGGGTCAAATATTTAACTGTAGTTCTCATCTAAAAATATGAAATTTGAAGACATCCTAGACACTGAACTGTATGGATGAATAAAGGCTAGTTTTCACAATGTAATATTTTGACAACAAAATTTTTTCACTTATTTTGACACAACTTTCTTTCCTTTATCCCTACCTTTATCGTTGATATTATGGGCCGAAAACTTACAAGTAGCCGCCTTAGCAGCGCATGTACACGCCTGAAGGCCTATTCTGATCTAAACCAAACCAAAGACCATTTTTTAGTCCCATTTGACAATGAAGGCCTATTCTGATCTAAATCAAACCAAGGTCAGTTTTTAGTCCCATTTCACTCATTTGACTGCAAATGCCACTGGATTTGACTTTGTGAAAATAAGCATTAAAATTAATAGAAAAAAATTACGAAGCTAAGTAAAGTGTTAATTTTTCGTAGTGCCTGCTCTAAATTCAATGTAAAATGTTTAAGATAATACATAATATGTTTTTTTCTATGTCTTCCTTTTGACCACTTTTCTCTAGAATTGTTTATTCTTCAAAATAAAACCGAAACTTCTCCTGTACCTACAAGTAAATATATTAGCACGGTAAAGGAAAAAAACTAATAATGCATCTGATCAAAAGATGATTGTACCTAAAATCTAGTGACTGTACCTAATGTACCTTTAAGTCATCAAACGTCGGAAAAAGGTACAATTGTACCTACTTTTTCATCCCTGGTACATATGTATAGGTATATACATATGTACGTATGTTTGCATACACTTATGTATATTAATATTATTATTTTTTTTTTTAATTTAGAGATCTTAATATATAGATTGCATGAAGTTGTGTTTTAATATAAGTGAGGCACAGAAATAACATAAAAATTAAATAATTTAAATAAATAAACAATATTTTAAAACGGCGCGCATAAGTTCTAATCGGATTTATTAAACTCGCGACTTCAACCAAATAAAAAATAAAATAAATTAAATAAAAAAATTAAATACTGAAAAGTCGTAAACAAAAAAAAAATGTATTTTTTTTAGAACATAAACCGAAAAAATAACCATTAAATACCACTTTATTTAAAAATTTTGAATGTTTTTTTACGTCAAATTTGATCGCGGCTTTATTGTTTTAATTTTGTGTGATAAAAAATAATCGTTTTTTTTTGGATTTTTTTTTCGCTCAATTTTAACCGTTATTAAGGGGACTACATTTTTATGAACGTTTTAAAAATTCTAGGATTTAAAAAAGTTAAATCTTAATAGAACGGTCATGACAAAACATAAAATAAAGGCTTTTGAACGAAAAAAGTTATTTTAAATGCTTATATTATGATTTTTATTAACCTACCTAATAACCGTTGCGGTTCGCGGTTTAGCATGTAGTAAAATTCACTTATTTCCTAAATTTTTTAATTTAATATTTTAGCTTTTAGATCAGTACCAGGAAAAATACACATGAATACTTAGGACACACAGCCTCGCGATTCTACTGGATGCCTGGCGCTGTTTTAGACTAATTTTAAAAAAGTAAGCGAATATCTTTGAATTAACTTTATAATAGGTTAGTTTTTTTATGCATTTAAAATGCCATTATCTATGATTAATTTTTGTTTTTTCTCATCTGAAAGCACACTTTTCTTCACCACTGAATGCTCATTTTAATAAATATTTTTTTAAAATTTTTTTCTATTTAATTTTTCACAATTTTATTGCGTCCTTCATATTTATGCGCAATTAAAATTAATGTATGCAAATGTGGTCTAACTAATAGGAGCAAACACAAAATCATTACACAAAAAAGGAGAAAAAAAAAAACACAAATACATGTGTACACTAATTTATATTATAGCGAACTAATAAAACAAAACTAAAAACCATTTACATACATGCGATCAAAATTGATGAGCAACAGCTGCTCTATGCATGCGCGTACGTCAAATGTTATTGAGCCCGCTGATTGAACCATTTAATTAGTTTTCATGTTGCATTTCAATTGATTCGTGTACTTATAACATGTAATTTTTTTGCATTTTTTTCGCTGTCTAATGATTTTATTTTTTTTTTTAAATTTAAATTCATGATTATCGGCATGCATATCAATGGTATTACATGTAAAAACCATATAATGCGCATGTAATGGAAAATTTTTGAAATAAGCAATTTTTAATAGGCTGTAAAAGCTTTCTTTACTTAGTTTATTGCTATGCGCAAACATTGTGCAAAATATTAATCACATCCTTTATGTGCCATAAAACACAAATAGCTAGTCAATAATGCGGTTTATTTTCTACATTTGCTGTAGGCTATTGACGCGCCCAAAAACTAATAAGCAGGCTCAGTCTAAAAGATCCCTGTGGGAAATGCAAACTTGAGCGAGCCCGTGAAGTTTATTTTAGACTTAATTTCCACGCTGAGCAGAAACAAATTCCATGGAGGCTAATTCATACATAACATCCAGGAACGTGAATTAACTTCCATCAAAAATCAAATCTATCAAATTAGCAAAATATTTTTATCTTTCAACATAACACAAGCCGGCGAAAAATCCAGGCCTGGGGGGAAACACCCTCTACCCCATCACCCCTCCCTACCCTTTCCAGGCCTGTGTTCAACCCCAGTATTTATTTGTTTATTCAAGTTACCTTGGCAATAAATAGAATTCTCTATTTATAGTCTCCATCCATGGCGCCATGGTCTCCACCGGCATTCCTTGGGTTGCCATAAGTAACTTTCACCAGTAGACCCTCAACAAACAAACAACAGTGGCGAAGATTTGCGTATTGCGCACTCGAACATATTATTTACCACACAAAAGACTGATAAAACGGCAAATAACAAAGTCTAAACAATTTCTTAAAAATTGTCAGTATAGACATTAAAATTTATTTATTTTTTCAACACTTTAAAAATGTCAAAAGAAGATGATATACGCAATGCCACAGCGCGACGCCGAAACCTATTATTTCTCACTCAACGTTTTCTCGCTGACCACGGCTTCTACCAGTCCGCTGAGGCTCTGAAGAATGAAGCGCGGCTGCCGGCAGATGAATACGAACTTTGCGACAACATCGACTTGGACGCCATTTATTTGGAATACGCTAGTTATTATCACTTAAAATTTGGCAAGTATCCGAAGATAGTGCGAAAGTTGAAGCCCAGTGTGAAGCTGGAACTGGATGCTAAGCGTAAATCTAAAACGAAAAGTTCTCCTACGGCCACCACAAATGCAGCACACGGCGAAGTGCCACCAAGTGAACCGCTGCCAGCTCCAGTTCTAGCGCCAGGTGATTTGGAATTGACTATAAAGAGAGTGGAGATATTAAAAGCGACGGCCAATTGTGCAGAAGGTGGCGGCACTACGAATCACACAGCAGTCCTTAGTGGTGTAGTCGCTGAGGAGAATCGAAATGAAGCGCTTACACGCCTGCAGCAAATTGAGCACTCCGCTAGCGCTGACGGATTGCTTAGCCAACAGGATTGGCATAATTTGGCCGATCTCGTGAAGACGACAATAATGCGCGACGATTTGAAACTTAGCTGGGCGGATATGTGCGGCAATGCGAGTGCGGTGGAGATTATCAAGGAGGCGGTGGTTACGCCACTAAAGTATCCACAACTATTTGTGAACGGCTTACGTCCGTGGAAATCTGTGCTGCTGCATGGACCGCCCGGCAGTGGCAAAACGCTGCTGGCCAAAATACTCTATGCCGAAACGCGCCAACAGGTGACTTTCTTCAATGTGACCAGCAGCGTGGTGGTCTCGAAATGGCGCGGTGAATCGGAGAAAATAATGCGCATACTCTTCCACATGGCGCACAAACATGCGCCTTCCATCATTTTCTTTGATGAAATTGAGGGTTTGACTTCATGCCGCGATCGACCCAGCGATCACGAGTCCTCGAAACGTTTCAAGAACGAACTGTTACAGCTGCTGGATGGCATGGAACAGCAAATGGGTGGCGTTTTTGTGTTGGCCAGCAGCAATTTGCCTTGGGAAATCGATGATGCTTTCCTCAGGCGATTCGAAAAGAAACTTTTGGTGCAGCTGCCCAACCCAGTGGAACGCGCAATACTCATCGGTAAGCAGCTGCCGATTATGTTGGCGGTGTCAAAGGAGGAGATGGAGTTGTTGGTGCGTATTTCGGAGCATTTCACGGGCGATGAAATACGCTTGGCATGTAAGGAGATCGCAATGCAAATGGTTAGACGTGTGACGCATGCGAGCAAGCGTGATGCAAAGGCAGAGCCGGATGTGCCGTTGCAGCGCGCATTTGAGCAAATCAAACCATTGAGCGTGAAGCTGATGAAACGCCATCAGCTGTGGCAGCAAGAGCATGGCTCGTAGGTGGGTGGATTTTGTGGGTTTTTAGAATTGGTTGCAAAATTATTGTATTTTATGTAATTGTGGTTTAATAAATGGTTTTTATGCTAAGAAGAGCGGCGCGGTGAGAATTTTATTAATTTTACTGTAAGTAACTTTTTGAAGTTTTATAGCATTTGCGATTTTCAGTTTTTCGCCCATTTTAAGTAACGGTTATAGACAGAAAATTACCAATTAAGCTCCAATCACTCCGATTAAACTGTGTGCCAGTAAATTTTACACAAAAAAAATATCCTTACGAAACTAAGAAAATTGCGTTTTTAGTATTTCTCTTTGACTTCGAGTTTCACCAGCAATTTAAATGGAAAATGATTTTTTATTTTCTGCCAATTTCCGTATAAAATTCAAAAAATTAAAATCATTTTTCACTTAAACTGCTTGCGTGAAATTGGCTGTTAGAAATTTCAGAGATATGATTTATTCAATAAATTATTTTAAAAAATTTTGTGCAATGTGGAATTCAAATATTGGTATCAAGTAAAAGAAAAAAATTCAATGGAATTGAAAAACATTATTTTTTTTTTTGTTACAAAAGCACGAATAAGTATTGGAAATGTCCTTTTAAAATTTTATCCTCGAACATCCTTAAAAATTTGCAATATTTATTTTTGAAAAAATTACATGTTAAATGTTCTTCTAACGACATTAGCTTAAAAATAAATATAATTAAAAGACCATTTTCAATATCCATTCGTCCATGTGAACCAAAAAAAAAAAATTCATTTTATTTTACAGAAATTTCTCATTCATTTAGTACACAAATTGTTGTTCTACATTGCACTGGAATTATTAAATATTTTTTGTTTTATAAAATAACAAACAGCTATGCAAGCGTATTTCAGGCGGCAAGCGTTTGAAATTAAGGAGGCCGTAAGCTATATGGTACACAAAGCACCAGGACTCAGCTGGCCAGGCGGCAACTAAGCCCATGGTAGGTGTACGTTTCCAATAAGTTTTATAAATTTAATTCTTGAAAATTTTAATGAATGAGCAATCAGCATATCAAAAACTTAAAGTATGCTCAAAAACATATTTAGATCATTTGTCGTTTGTTTTTCATTACACAACTTCGAAGAGAACTTATTTCATCTCGTTGAGGGCATTAAATAAAAAGCGCAGTCAAATATTTTGGTTACTTACTTATTCTCGACGCAGAAAAGACAAACCGGCTACACCAGGAAGTTTATGAACTTCAGAATTCTGTGGTTGCCCATAAGGGGATCACACATACATACAAACATACATATGTATGTAGACTATTACCAAACATATGTATGCGTTTCCTTTGGTGGAGGTGTATGCTTACAAGGCTAAAGTCAATAAATGTTGGCAATTTAAACTTTCGCATGCCACACATACTCCGCTTTTCTGCCGCTGAGTAAAGTTGGTATGCCTGTGTTTCATAACTTTTATGCATAAATTCGCAGCGTGTCCCGCATTTCCACACTCTCCCCATCCATATATGTAGTTACACTTGCCCGTATTCACATTTGTATAAGTACATAGTTTCTCATATACATATTTATATATATGTGAATATGTATATACATGTGTACATAAGTGTAACTAAACTTCACAAAATGTATGTAAATTACGAAAATTTTGCGCCGAAATTGTTTTCAATTCAATTCACATGTGCACATCAGTGCTGTGGTGACTAACACTCACCCACTCACCCACTCACACTTTCAAGCGAACATTTAGTTAGGTGGGCAAAGTTTAGAATGTACATACATATGTACACAGCGAGTTGACGCGTATCATCAACGCGATAATAAAATGTGTTGCCAAAGAGCAATCAATGTGCCGCAAACATCGTTAGGTACCCATTTGAGTCACACTTGAATGACTTTGTAAATGTTTCGGATACTTAAGGTAACGTCCTTTTGAAATTTTGAAACGTTATTTGCGAGCAATTCTATTTAAAACACATACGAAAGGCTAACTGCATTGAGAATGCGTTTGAGTTGCTGTAGACATTCTAAGGGAAATTTATATTCATTATATGATTACATTTTCGTACGAAATAGTATTGCAAATGATGAAGCAGCGATTGCAAGTTGGTTTGGGTTTTTCTATAAGTATGCGTTTGATGTGGTAATTCTCTGATTTTGGTAGAGTGAAAGCTCGTCTTTGTAAAGCGCGAAAACTTATTAGTTTACAGGAAAAATCGCATCGATGACGAGGTTGAGAATCTGATCGATAAGTTTATCGATATAAATGTAGATAACGATATCTAAGACACTGCCGAAAGTGTCAATATTTGTATCACAAATACATGGGCAACGATATATGTATATCGATAAACACATCTACTTTGAAAATATATCGATGACAGGTTTGAGGAATAATCGATAAAACTACAGTTGTAAATTTTAATAAATATATCTACAAAAATGTCGACAATGTAGATATTGGTATAACATATCTATCGTTAACGATGTATATCTACATATATCGATAAATACATCGACAATAATATTGACAGCTGCCTGTAATAGGTTAATATATTAATATTTAGAGATAATCGTCTACAATTTTATTGGTATTAATATCGATAAACTTATATGTATATCGATGACAGCAAGTCTACGTGAACAACCGCATGGATAATAAACAGAAAACTGCGTTGAGGGATAATCGATAAGTCTAGGGATGTAAATTAGAATAAGGATATTGAAAAACGCAGTTCGTATCGCAAATATATCGACAACGATACATAAAACGATATATACAACGCCAATAATATTGACATACACACATTATAGGTCAATATACCAATTATTAAATCGGAATTATTGTATACAAGCTTATTGTCACAGATATCGATAGGCATGTATATCGAAAAATTCACCAAAAACGACTGCAATGATGCATTAAAAAGGGGCGTGATATATAAATACATATGTTGGTAAATATATCGATATCAATAAGTTCATTTTCGATACTACCGATAAATATGCCGATAAATGAATTAAAAATTAGTCTGACGTTATATTGATACTGAGATTGATATGTAAATAAATGTTTCGACGAAAGTCGAAAATACTGAGTACTTTGTCTAAGATATATATCGACAAATATGTCGATAAATCAATTATTGACAATAGTATTGATAGATATATATATATATATGTCGACCACAGTCGAAAATAATAAACACGTTGTCGAATAAATCAATAAATAAAATCGATAAATACGACGAGAAATTATGGACAATGTATTGACAATAGTGAATGCACGTTAGGGTGGTCGGAATTGTAATGCTCTCACCCCCTAGGATTGTTCTATATCGGAAAAAAGTATACCCCTATTTTTTATTTTGAATTCAAAATATATTTAGAGGTCGCTCAAAGTTTTCCATGTAATTTTATATGGGAAAAATAAAGTATTTCGTAGAAATGGTATAGAATTCTTGAAAATCAATATTTTTCGGAAAACTCTGGTTCTCTTCAGTAGACTTTCAATAATAATATCTAATTGTTTACTTAACCATGTTGTAATGGTAACGATTATTTATTGGTCGCCCCTTTGCATTTTTCGGGGTTTTTGTGGGTTTTTGGCGAACCTATAAATCATAATTGCGCTGAAAAAATGGTTTAATAAACAATTGGGTATTATTATTGGGAATCTCCGGCAGATAAACAGAGTTTTCTGGTAGAAAGATATTGATTTTTAACTATTTTATACCATTTCTACGAAAAGTGTTTTTTTGCCCCTACAAAATACATGGAAAACTTTGGGCGCTTTGAGCGACCTCTAAATATTTTTTTACTTCAAAACAAAAAAAAAAATAGGGTGTATTTTTTCGGTATAGAACAATCCTATTTTTTCACATGTACCACCCTAACGCACATTAATGCAATTATCAAGAATTGCATCGATATATATATGTATGTACATATTAACATATCGAGCATTAATAATTTTTGAATGTATCGATTAGAAATGGGTTTGAAGTTTTTTTTAGTAGTTATTAAGAAAAGCGATAATTTTTAAAACTCATTTAGCTGTTGACATATGTATATATGTATGTATGTAGGTTCTTATAAAAATATAGGAGCTGTTATGTTGTTCACACTCTTCAAAATAAGCTAAACAGAAAATAATAATTACCAAATATATTATTTTATATGTATGAACGTATATCGATGGGACATTTCAGCCAATTCGAACACCATTGGATTTTGCACTTCCGATTTTTGGGTAATTTTTTATGTTATTGTACCAATTAGAAGAGGCCTCCCGAATTCTTTTGAATATTTTTTGTTTTCTAGACATCGATTTTTGAAAAAATTGCTCCCTTTTGAATGCCTATAGCTTTGCGAAAAAGGGCCAAATGAAACTATTTTTCATTTAAAACTTTTCATTTTCGAAACATTTTTGAAATATAAAATCAAAAAAAAGTTTCAAAACGTATTTCTATAAAATTTCGAACGATAAATTCAAGGTGAAATCTCTCAATTGGTACATAGAAAATTATGAAAAAAAGTCGGAGATCAAAAAGCCAAATAGAGTCCGAAATGGGTTAGAATGCCCCTAGTATATAAAAAATTATTAAACACATTAATAAATTAGTACTACCTGCCAGTTGTGCGTCGTCGCGCGCCCGCTATCGTCATGCGTGATATGTAACGGCGTATACGCCCACTCGAGCGCCGTTGACCCGACGCCGAACGTACACTATACTCGGTGGCCGTTGAGCTGCGCCGATCGATTGGTATAACGTCGGAGCACATGGACGACGAAATAATCGATGCGGTCGAACGTCGCTTACCGCCCATGAAAGTGCCACCGCCGCTCGATGAAGTCGTCGTAGCCGAAGAATCGGAGCGCGAGAAAAGTGATGAGCGTTTACTGCGCGTACCCGGCGGACCCACAGCATCCTGTATATTACTATAGAACTCCTCTGTTTCACGATCATACGAATCCGGATCGCGATCATCATCGGCCGCCTCTTCGGCGTCTTCATAGTGCGCATCAGTGCCGGCGCCTTCGTCGTCAGTGCCCAGCGTATCGGTGGCAACTGTAGCGGCGCGTCGCGGTGGAAAACGTCGTCCGCCAGCAATGCTGCGTGTGACGATGGCGATGGAACTATGCACTTGGCCATTCGTGCCACTAACACCACCGCCACCAATATCACCGTCATCCGCACCTTCCGCCGTTGCATCCACATGCGACTTGGCGCTATTGTACAACTCACTGCTGGCAGTTTCGTAATCGGTGGAGTTTCTCGTGCGCCCACTATGACCGCTGCTGAGCGAACGATAGTGTGACGCAGAGCTATGACTATCCGGTGAGGTGGGACGTGATGCGGCGCTTAGAGTTTGTTGATGTTGCAACAAATGTTGTTGGCGTTGTTGTTGCTGTTGTTGTTGGTGGTGATGATGGTGCTGCTGGTGTAGCTGATGATGCGGTTTGTGGTGCGACGAACTGCGTCGCGTAGTATGCGGTGTTTCATGTTCGTTATCATCGCTTTCGCCGCCACCGACACTACCACTAAACGTAACTTCGTGATATTTTATTGACTTGGAGGATTTGCGACGCGCCTGCTGAACGGAAGAGCGCCGCGGTGTCTCCTCCAAGTCATCAGCGACTGCTACCGTTTTTGCAGCATCGTAGGTTTGGTTGCTGATGATTGTGCTGTGTTCATGCTGTTCATTCGCCACTGCAGTACCGTTCGTGAGCGTTGTTAACGTCGATGATTTTGCACTGTATTCGTTTGGTGGAGGTGTTGTTGTTGGCACACTTGTTGTTGCTGCTGATGGGTGGGATTGTGTTGGGCTGGTTGCCGTTGATTGCAAAGGGACTGGCGATTGCGGCGTTGCAGCTGGTGGGAGTATTATTGGACGTGGTCGGCGTCTCCGCCAGGGAAACGCACGTATAAATGCAAAGAAGATGAATAGTGTGGCAATCATAGCCGTTGGAGCATTTTTCGTTATCACTAGTCACTACTTGGAGAATATTATTTTTGTTTTGTTTTCCTGTTATTGTGTTTTCTTTATTGTTTTAGGCTATCGTTTTAGGGTATTGTTTAGGGATATCAAAGTTGTATTGCAATGTTCCTCACTTGTGTTGATTCACTTCACTGCTTAATGGTAAAAAGGTTACATAAGGCCCTCACTCGCCGACTTATTGCTAGTTTGTAAAGTATATTATATTATGAATGTATGTTGCACACTGTAGGGCAAGCCACGCGAATTTAACTCTACTGGAATTGCTTAAAATTGATCGAAGCATAAAAACCCAACGTTGTTGTTCTGACTTAGTTTTGTTTTTCTTGTTCCATAAGCCAGAAAAGCATGATTCAAGGTTTTCGAACAAATGCCACATATAACACTGGCATAAAATTTTTACGGCAGAGCTTTTGACAGCTGATTCGTAGAGGTAGTTTTTAGTAGATTAAGTACCTGGCTTTTAAATTATTCAATTGGCTCTAGCTTTCGAGATACCTGGGATGAAAAGTGCCAAAAACCACGTTTTGTAATTTTTGGAACTTTTATAGCAAAATAACTAAGCAATGGAATTCTAGAAATCGTCACGCTAAATTTCTGTCGCTAAACAATCTCTTTATGATTAAGGCTTGTGTCTAAAAATATACAACGCCTTCAGGGAAACCCCTTCGGCTTTCGCTTTGCATATTTTCAGGCCCATAGGTTATTCAGTTTTAGATATTTAGCGATAGATATTTAGTGAAGCGGTTTCTAGCAACGCACTGCAGATATAATAAAAGTTGGATTTTTTTTCGGATGATTATGTTGGATATTGAGCTCCTAAAAGAGAACTACATATTGCAAATATTAATTGAAAAAGTAGATGTTAAACATAGAGGCGGAAGCAGGTCAGAAAGCTTTTCAAAAGGGATAAGTAAACGGCTGCTCTCACTGACTATAACAAAATTATTAGACGCTCAAAAAGTGATTCATCGAGGCAGCAAGGGAGTCAAAAAAGGTGCTGCTTGAGGACTTCTGTTTGCATGAAATTTTATGAAACGAGTCTAGCCAAGATGGAGTCTTCACGAACAACGAGGCTTTGAATAACCATGTACTTCATGCGCATTTCAAAGGCTCTTCGGTGGAGCATGATAAGATGAGCCCTATCTTCTCGGAACTCAGGTTCCCTCGAGTGAAGTGTCATAGAAAATCTGGCTGCACCCTTGACAGGGGCGAAGTAGGGTGGGCGGTATCGTCTTTCGAGCCCTTCAAAGCAGCAGGAGTAATTGCATTTTTCTTTAGCATCATTGATCCTCTGCTACGATTGTTTAAAGCTAGTTATTGCTGGGCATACATACATATCGTACACCTAGAGGAAGGTATTTGTGTTATTCATTGATAATACATAGGTCCCAAACTAAATCACACATACCTATTCGCCCAATTTTAGTCCTTCTCAAAAGACTAGAGAGGGGAAAACTGAGCGCGTCCATGCGGTGCAGTATCGGGAAGTCAGGTCGCCAATAACCCAATAAATTTCTGAAGAGGGGCGAGGAATAGATAAGATATTGTAAGGTGGGAGAGGGCACAAAGAGTCAATCCATGTCAAATCGGCTAATGCATTGCAGTGATTGGAATCGCCCCATATTTGACTTGGCTGAATTTTGGCCAGAACTTTTCTTTTATCATAAAACGAAGTCCCGCCAAAGGAAGAAAATTAATTTTTTTTCGACAGATATACAAAATTCTAAATTTGATAATTTCCGCAATTTAAAATTTTTTTTTAATAACTCAAAAATAACTGTAGTTAAAAAAATGACTCTGATCCCGTTTTAAAGGTGATACTTGAGGTTATAGAGAAAAGGTATACAAAAGAAATGTAAAATAAAAAAATTACAAAAATTTGAAATTAAAAAAATAGTTAAAGCAAAAACTTTTTAAAAGTTTTGGCGCAATTTTTTTGTATACAATACCTCAGACTGAACTTAAAAAACCCAAAAATTTTCAAGAGGGTTCTTTAAAGATATGACTTTTTGAAATTTGGAAAAAAAAATTGTTTGCAAAATCTAAATAAAGTTATGATAGAAACATTTTATTTCATTTACATTTACACTTAATTTTGATTTTGGAAACAATTTCTTTTTCATAATTTAAAAATTCATATCTTAAAAACACGCCTTCCTGAAAATTTCAGGATTTTTAGTTTGGTAAAAAAATGAGCCTTTTGCTTTTACGATTTTTTAAATTTCAAAAAGGTGTATTTTGTTATTTTTCAAATTTTTAAAATACTAGTGTTTGCGATGTTCAAAAAATAAGTTTGCAAAATCCACGAAATTTTGAAATTTTGAACTTTCGGAAGCACTTTC